CAAAGCCTTTAACATAATGGGAGACGTGGCTGATGCGTCCATAAACGGGCCGTTCTTGAAATGATGGGCCAAAGATGCGATCAAACGCAAGCCGATGACCGATGCGAATAGTAGATTGATCGCTTTGTTGTATCACTAGCCAAGGGACAAACGGATGGTAGATGGTAAGGAGCATGTCGATAGTGTAAATGATAGACAACATAGTGGAAGACATTGAGGATATGATGAGCGATGAGGATGATATCGTTGAACGAATGGATTTGTTGACCAGGAACACGATTCAGGGCCGCTTCCAAAATAGGTAAGCAAATTCAAAGTCCGCTTATTTTCATGATGGCGACTTTTAAGCTTTGTTCTCACGCTACCAATCAGTATTGGTGCGCGACAGCGACAGGATGGATTTCTCCATCGGAATCACAGATGGAAAGGATAGCTGCTAAAGCGTAGTCGGATGCGTCAGTTTCCACAATGATAGGACAGTTTGGCTTCCAGTGTGTCAACACCGGAGCGGAAATAAAAGCCTCCTTGAGAGTTTTAAAAGCAAGGCGACAACTGTCATCAAAAACCCACGGAATGTTTTCTGGGTGAGACGAGTCAACGGAACCACAATATCAGAATAGTTGTGGATGAAACGTCTGTAAAAATTAGCAAAACCGAGGAAGGACTGAACATCTTTGACTTTCCGAGGTTCCGGCCAGTCTTGAATGACTTGGACTTTTGCCAGATCCATAGAAAGGCCATCAGGACCGATCATGTGACCCAGGTACTCAACGGAATCGGAGTGGAAAACACATTTCTTACCATTGGCGAAGAGATTATTATCTCGAAGCTGTCGGAGGACTTTGGAGACATGTTTGATGTGATCTTTTTCGTTGATGGAGAAGATGAGGATGTTGTCCAGATAGATGATTACGAACACATCTAAAAGGTCAGCAAAAATAGTGTTAAGGAATCTTTGAAAACCGCCAGGGGCGTTGGTAAGTCCAAACGGCATGACAAGCCACTCGAAGGAGCCATAGCGGGTACGGAAAGCAGTCTTCCACTCGTCTCCGGTGGCAATCCGGACGAGATGGTAGGCATGCTTTAAGTCAATTTTAGTAAAGATCCCAGATTTGTGGGGAGCATCAAGTAAATCGGAAACAAGAGGTAAAGGGTACTTGTCTTTCTGAGTGATGGCATTGAGTTTTCGGAAGTCAACACAAAGCCGTAGTGACCTGTCCTTCTTCTTGATAAACAGGACGGGTGCTCCGAATGGAGACTTTGAAGGCCGGATGAAACCCATGTTTAGGTGCTCGTCAATGAACTCTCGGAGCATACGGAAAGTGGATAAATCGGACCCAAAGGGGGTTTCACAGACTCATCAATTTCGATTTTTAGGTCATACTCTCGATGAGCCACTAGAGTGTTAGCTTTACCCTTTGAAAAGATGTCCGAAAATTCATGGTATATTTCCGGAACACCCTCCAAGTCAGAATTGGAAGATGTGGTGGAGGCTGCAGCGGAACGGCTAGCAGCCTCGACCAGATCATGAACGGAAATAGAAAAGCATTGTGCTCCTTCGGAACGGATGGACCTCATGAAAGCTGCAGCAGACACTAAGGCAATTTTAGGAGCTGTCAATGGTTTTGGAACAAATGGAATATCAGAAAGAGGTTCCGGAATATTATTGACAGGTATTTCAACATTTGATTTCGCGGAAACCGTTGTTGCGCACCAATACTGATTGGTAGCGTGAGAACAAAGCTTAAAAGTCGCCATCATGAAAATAAGCGGACTTTGAATTTGCTTACCTATTTTGGAAGTGGCCCTGAATCGCGTTCCTGGTCAACAAAACCATTCGTTCAACAATAACCTCCTCATCACTCATCATATCCTCAATGTCCTCCACTATGTTGTCTATCATTTACACTATCGACATGCTCCTTAACATCTACCATCCGTTTGTCCCTTGGCTAGTGATACAACAAAGCGATCAATCTACTATTCGCATCGGTCATCGGCTCGCGTTTGATCGTATCTTTGGTCCATCATTTCAAGAACGGCCCCTTTATGGACACATCAGCCTACATCTCCCATTATGTCAAAGGCTTTGTCATTGTTGTTGTGGCTATGGACCCACAAGTCTTCGCCTCAGCTATCTATCTTGCCATACCTCGCTCCTGGATCTCACTCAGTCCCCTATCCTCACTCATCTACCTCTTATCTTATCATTCACTGCCAAAACCATCATTCACGCGGTACCTGAAGCCTTCCCACCCTCTTTATGACAATTTAGGAAGTCCAGGAGGATCACGACTAAGCAGGAATTGCAGATGAATCAGCAGCAGAGGATTATTCTCGCAGAGTGTCAAGTGTTATCAAGGCTGCGCGACATGGGACCATGGGCAAGTAGTGTTTTCTCGGGAACAAGGCTGCGCCTTTCAAGTGTTGACTCAGGACCTTTCACATTTTTGACATGACCACACGCCTATGGAGTCGATATATTTTTGCTATTGGACTATGTACACTGCCTTCTCTTCTTTTCTCTCGCACTTTGACACTTTACAGATTTTTTTACTGTTCCTTCTTCTTTTCCATTGTTCTTTTCTTCTCGCAGCTGTCATCTCTTCATCTTTCTTCCTTTGACAGCACATACTTCTTTTCTTTTTATTGTTCTACATAGCCTCATCCTTAGGGTATAAATACTGCTCTTTTGTACCAGGATAGGTAGTTCA